AGTCTCCAATCCTTTTTGGATCATTTTTAACTACATTTTTATGATGCAGACCCCTAATTATTAAATTAATTCAAATAATATGTGATAGTAGACTTACTAGACAGAGCACCCTGTACATACCAAAATATTTTTGCGCCGAAGATAGCTTTTATTTGAATATTTTTGCATCCTTGTTGTTTTGTAATCCTTAAATAATAAACTTATTAGATGAAAAGTTACTTTTTTAGATAAAAATTAGAACGTTTCATCCTTTAATTGAGGGTTTTTGATCAGGGAAATAATAACTTGATAATTTAACTTTATGCTTTTCGCTAAAAATTCCTTGTATTAGATGAAGCTTGAAAAGATGTACTTACGTATGTATAAATTATTAAGTAACAATTTAACAAATGCCATTTTAATAAATGACAATTTTGTTACTGTTTTATGAAATTTTGTTACTTTATTAAAATTAAAACTCGTGTTTATTTATACAAATCGAAAGGAAAAAAATATTGTTCGAATTCAATACACAGCACCCTCTTCCTTGGAGTAGGGAACTTTGTATGCTCTTTAGTTCCTTTGCAGCTACCGACGTTGTGTAAGGGTTCGTGAACAGGGACAGGCCATAGTTAGAGAGTTACAGATATCTGTCGAGCCGTTAAGGGTAGAGGTGGAAAACTGTAAAGCTTTTGGAAAACTGTCGTGCTTTTTAGGACCTGTGTAAAATCATTTTCTTTTCTTTGAAGGACTATTTTCCATAGTACAGTAAAAATATTCAGGATTTCTTTGTCTATTGCAGAAAGTTGCATTTTTGCTTTTATCCTAGTAAAAGTGAAAGGAAAGCTTGAAAAAGTGTGGTAAATTCAAATATATTATTAACCTACATAATTTAAACGCTCTTTTTCATTGAAGTTACTGTATTTCCTTTAACATTTTTAAAAGGATAATTCTTTAATGAAGGACTTATATTAGTTCGTAATTTTCACTGCAGGTGTCAGGCACGTCTTAAAATTTTTCTTTTTCACATTTGTTTGTTTAATTTGATATTGTGATTAGATTTCTTTAATTAAAAGTGAAAAACTATAACATTACCCTTCTAATTCATTATAATTTTCTTTAAGTAGTCAATAGACAATTATCCAAAAATTTTACAATTTAATTTTGATAGTTACTTACATTAATTAAAATAGGAACAGCCAAATAAAGCAACAATTTTTGGAAGCAAAATATGTTTATTATATATAATTATTTTCCCGAAATAAAAAATACCTGTATGAGTATAATAGCTTTTTATAGTAAGATCTTTTTGAAACAAACTTTGCATCATTTCCGAAACATCAGTAACAAGATTTTATTAATTGCGGCTAGTAATTTTATTAGATGAAGACGATGGAAGCGAAGGGAGGGTGTAGTAAAAGTGAGGGTTGTTTCAGTGAGCACAGAAACAAATAATAGTATAAATATGCGGCTGAAAAATTTCTACCCCATGTTTGTACTACTGAAGTTCGGTCACTAATCCTATTAGGTCCAATCAACGAACGCCTGGTTGTAATTGCTCATGACATGTACTGTCCAATGATATGATTCTAACTGAAATTGATTTACTGTCATATAAAATAATTCTGAACATTTTTTTCCAATGTCCGTCATTGATTCGAACACAACTGAACTTTAATTCGGATGATGCTGGACGTCTAAAAAAATTGGGAATAAATTTGGTCATTATTAGAGTCAGTAAAACTTTTGGGGGTGAAACGGTTTTTATTTCGCCAGTTGTTTCGCCCCTGATTATTATCGCGCTCTTTTATGATTTTATGGTTAAAGGACCAACACAAGTTTTTGAAACTTTGAGAAATATTTTGTTCAAAAGTCTCAATAACCGCAAGTTTTCGTATACTGATTTGACATGAATTGCCACTAGTGAAAAAGAGAGAATTGGGAATGTAGATTACATCTTTGAATTACCGAATTTGATCTTTAGTCCTTCGTCTGTCTGTGATTTTGATCGCATTTATCCAGTTGTCGATTTTTGGAATTCGTAGCTTCTGAATCTTTTAATCATCAGGATGATTCAAAAAACGTTTTCTCAGGTCTTCCAAGTGATATTTTAAAAAAGAATTGAATGTATTAGGGTGGTATTATTGGCGTAAATCAAATAATTTCTAATCTTATACGATTTCCATCACAAAAGAAAATGATAAGCGGCTGTCACATTACGATGTGGCAGAAGTAGAAACTGCCTCCCTCTCCTGCTCGACACTTTATAGTAAATAGGAATATAGTGATAATTTTTATGGAAGATATAAACTAAGTGTCTAAAGAATAAAACTAAAAAAAGTTCATCAAAATCTATCTAGTAGTTCTTACGTGATGCATATCGACAAACCTGACCATAATTTTATTTATGTACATAGATCAATACCTTTCACCTTTCGAGTGGTTTAAAAATAGGTATAACAAAAGTGAAATTTGAATCCTTTTGGTACCAATTCCTGAAGTATAAATTAAAATATTTCTTCAGCCTTTGCATTATTAATTACATAAGTAAAACCATTTGAAATAATTTAGGAAATGTGGTCGTTTCGATTATTATTTATTTTATTTATTGTTCTTTCCAAAAAATTATAACGCTCTAAGTATCACTAAAATGTAAATACAGTAAGGACCTTAACTCTATTATTAAAGGATTAGTTATTATTTACAATGTCGTTATCTGTGATAAAGATTATAAAATACAAATTATGCAACAAAGTCAAAAAAATACGAAATTTCTTGTATAGAAAGAAGAAGATTTTGTGAGTCATCGTCAACTTCAACTTTTTAATGATGCTATTCGGTAGGTACATATTTCTTTTTGGTTTTTTTAGGGGCTTAGAATTTCGATATTTAGCATGAAGGAATGGCGGGGACAGGAGGGAGCACGGAGAACGAGGGGTGTAGGAACTGCGGAGGTGTAAAAACTAACAAAAACAAAAATAAATCAATTTTTGGAGTTTTTTCATAAAATTTGGTTACTTTTAAAATAATTAACTGATACCTTGTGGCATGATGGAGGGGATAGCAAGGGAGCAGGGAGGGAGGAGAAGATCAAAGGGGAGGGGAAAACGTCACCAACCAATTTATTTATAATGGGAATGTCTTCCGCCAGGATACTATTATGTATTAATGTGGTAAAATTTTATGGAAAAACATCGAATGTTTATGCATCTAACCGCTTCCTTTTCTCCCCACTTCGTATCCGCCCACCACATCCTGTACCCTCTATCAACAAAGAATAAGTGTTAAGATGACATACAAAATTTTCTGACTTATTTTCGTTATCCTTTAATGTTGAAGGATAATGACGTTCGAGACCATTGTTATACAGTTTATTGAATAAGAGGCAATGTACAATATTTTAAGCAGTTTTTTCCGAAACCGTCAGCCCGAGTGACTCCGCATGCTTCCTGGCTTTGAGCCTTAAATCTGCTATGCTGTTGTTCTTGTGCGCCACCGCCAACGCTGCGAATCCTATAGGATACGAAGGGTGGCAGAATAGGCTGGCAGTAGGTGCTGCCCCCACGGCGACAGCTGCCGCTGCTGCGTACTAAAACATTAAAAAAGGGTGTATCGTTACAGAAGGGGTGGTTCTTAGATTTGGATATTAATAGGAAAATTGTATCTACCTGGTGTGCCACAGATAGGAAAGCTGGATCAAAAGCTGAAAAAGGGGGCCCAGGTTGGGGAAAATGAGACGAATTTATCCGATCGTAACTGTTATTTGTTAGGGGTAAACCTCTCAAAGCGGGAACGCTTACATAGGGTACAACTCTGCACGGTTCAAGGGGTGTACTCAACGGTGGACTGTGCATCATCCCTATATTTAGAAAAAAGAACACATTAATTACTATTATTATTAATGAGATACTAGTCGTTTTTGGTTTTCTTTAATTTTTTCTTTTAGTGGTCGTTATCTAATCTAGATTCTTCCAAATCCTGACTTTTGGCTTTTATCTGTTAATTTACTTTTATGATGAACAACATCGTGGTGGTATTTGAATTACTCGGGGTTTTTCAAATGTTATGAGCAAATTTTTCAGCAGTAGTTCTCAAATATTTCATTTTTTTATGGTGGAAATAAATGTTAAAGTATCCAGGTTTCTCGTATGTTCTAAGTTAATGTATCCAGGTTTGCTGTGCAAATGTAATATTAATCAAGGTTTCCCTTACGTCAACTTGTTATAACTTCTTAACGTTCCATGACTGTAGTAAAATTAATTTAATAGCAACAGGTACATTATTCTGTGATCCGTCAGAACGGCGTGCTGATGAGATCGAAATCGATATCGACAGAAAACTGATCACGAAGAAAATTTTTTGAGTTATGTTATATGTTATGTTAAGTTACTCAGTTTTTGAAGGCTTATTTACGTTAAATTTGCTCGAAACTTTTATAATTAGGGAGTAAATATTCTTATTAGTATTACATATTAATAAGGATAGGTAAATATTATTAAGGATTCTGCAGGTTTAATGAACTTGACGATATGGTCTTAAGAAAAGAGTGTTTGTATTATTAATGTTTGAAGTTGTTTAAACTGAACGGACGGCGGGTGAGACGTTATTTTTGTTACTGGCAATAATTCTTGGGTCCATGAATATGTCATGGGCCGCGTTTCCCTAACAAATCTGCGGTGGATAATCAAATTTGCACAGAAGAGTGCACTAAAAAAATACAAGTCAGTGCTAGTTTTCAATCAAATCAAATAATTCCCCTCGAGGGCTATTTTCCGAGAGCCCAGTATTTGGGACGCGAGTCCTGCCGCGGACGAACCCGAGGGGACACTAAATTACACTTACTGCCTTACATCCACATCAACACAGCACCCTTACCTCGCCTCCCTCTTCTTCCAAATTACATTTGCAAGCGGATTCTAACTCTACTTTAATTCGTTCAAAATGTTCTGGAACTTGACGAATGTGCTGGCAGGTAATGTTCCTTTCCGGATACCTTTTTTCTAAATCCGCTTTTTATTCTCGCTTTTCATCCCTCCCACGTCTACCTTACCATTAAATATTTATATTTGCCTTTTTACACCCAACTTCAGACTTCTTTGTTTTATCAAACGTTCTTGAAAAAAGAAAACTCCTATTCATTTCACACTTTCCTTATTCTTTTAAGGATAACGCTCATTTAATTTATTTTCCTTTTAAATTTAAATGTACTGGATATTGTCCAGAACAATGCAGATTTTAAACGATACCAATAGTAGACGATATTATTCAATATTCATTTCCATTCCGAGAAAACCATTATTGCGATTTTCGGGTTATTATGAATCGAGGGTTTCTAAAGGAGATTTCCACTCCTTGCGAACAATTTTATGTTATAATTCGAATTTATGACGAGGTATTCTTTAGCACTGCAACGCTTTTTCTGACGATAACTTTCCGGTCGTAATTGCTGGAGTTTCAAAGAAATAATGGCATTTTCATCGAACTTTTATGAGTTTCTTTGTTTGCTACATCATCATTTTTGTCGTATTCTTCCTCTTTAGCGAATATAAACATGATATACCGAACTTTCGATTTTGACGACCAGAATAAATTATCAACCCACTAGCTCGTTTTAACAAAATTACTTAGCCAAAAATTTTTTATCACAATCTCATTCGTTTCACTCATCTTTAGAAAACCTTCGCATTATTTTGATGTTTTCTTCAAAATAAGAAGATAAAAATGAAGATTCATCAGAAGGAATATTTCTTGAATCCAAATTTGGAATATAGGCATATATAGTTTTATAACCTTTTTTTGGCATTATGTATAATGTAATAAAAATGTAAATTTCTTACCTTTTTGTATTTGACTTTCATGCTTTCGACATTTGGCTCGTCGATTTTGAAACCAAACCTGCAAAAAAAGTGAGGTACTTATGGTTCCAGTAAAGGATATATTAAGTGTTGGGTTTTGACTCCAAGAAAAAGGATTATAAAGCATAGTTTAAGGCTATCGACCCCATGTATAATAATGGAATACCTTAGTTTAAAGAACCTGTGCTATATTTGGGATATAAGACCTAATTTACAATTAAAACGGAATTATTTAGCATTCTTGTGCTTTCCAAATCATTTGTAAGCAAAAAAAATAGAAAAGTTACCTATCAAAAATAAATATCGATACAATTCCAGAACATAGCTCAGCAGCTTGGGTAGAGTTCAAAGGACCCTTAGTTTTCAATTATTAATTCAAAAATTTTAATTTTAAGTGAATATGACTTAAATAGGTTTATTTTATAATTTTTTATTTAGTTGCAGATTTTACTATATACACAGCTGGGGGTTACATGATATTTGAACCCCGACAAAAAAATCCTTGACGAAATATTCCCAAGACAAAAAAACTCAGACAAAATATCCTGACAACGAAATATTTCACTCATCATCATCATAAGGTCGTCAGTCCTACTAAGACTTGTTAAACACGTACCTCCACTCTACCCTATCCTGAGCTAATCTTCGCATTTCCCTAAAACAAGAACAACCCACATCCTTAATTATTTGCTAACAGTAATATAATCTAGGTCTACTTTTACTCCTCCTAAGTCCTGTTTCTGCCTCTAACATGTCTCTGACTAGACCTTCATGCCTGAGAAGGTGTCCTATCAATCTATTTCGCCTATTTCTTATTGACTTCCATAAAGTCCTCTGTTCTCCTATTCTTTCTAATACCTCTTCATTTCTAACCTTCTCTATCCACGGTGTCCTCATCATTCGTCTGTAACACCACATTTCGAAGGCTTCTAACCTGTTCTATTCCGTTTGACAGTGTGCATCCCTGTCTGAATCCCTTCCTAATATTTACTTCTCTACGTTGCAGTCCTAGCTGTAAATATTTCACTAACAAAATAAAAAACTGAAAATACGTAAATTTATTGAATAAAATATTATGAAAGTGATTCATATTTTGTCCAGGGATATTTTGTAGGTGGTCCTGATTGCTTTAACACTTCGGAAATAGAGCAAAGAAATGCACTTGGTATATGTTTTATTAATTTCTACAGTTATTACACCATTTTCAAAGTAGTATTCGTGTTCTCTAAAAGCTGATATTAAGAAAACGGGGACGTGTCATTGTTGCGAAAAATTATAGCTGGCGGGGAAGAAGCGGTAAGGTCTTTTGGTCGCCGTTTTTATCGAATGGACATCGGTTCCACACGATTTAGTCAGGCTAATGCTTCTAACAGAGATAATTGCCTAATGAATACGTATGATGTGCGGGGAGCGATCTAACGTCGATTAAGTATTAGATTAACGACACCGTTCAACTTTCGCGACTGATTGATTGCGTCTTTGGAAACACTTAGGGTAAAAACAATCGAAATCACTCTCTAACTTCATCTCAGATACTTACTTCCAATTGCTTTATCCATTCTAACCTCGGAAAAGAATATTTTTGTTCATTTAGTCAGAGAATAACCGAATTTTTCCTTACAAGTTTAAGATATGGGGTAAGGTGATAAAACGCATACACTATCTGACCAAATTTGGACAACACCTTTGTCCGTCATCAAGTTTTTCGCACTTACAAAACCCTTCGCGTTGTGTGAACTATTCTAAGTTGGACTTTCACTCATTTCATATAGATCACCTTTCATTCATTGTGAATTACTTTCATTATGAGTTTTGAATTTCTTAAATACGTAATAACTCTTATTGGAATATTGTTCAATATTAAAGGAACTTAAATCATTGTTCCCCTTTATTTCACTGAGAAAATGTAACGGGAGGTAGGTATATAAACCCGAATTAGTAGGACGATTAACTAATTAAAACTGAAATATGCCGATTAATATAAGAGAAACGTTACGTTTTATAGAAGCATAATTAAGTTTCTTTGTGATTAATTAATAAAGTTAATGAAAAGGGGAGAAACACAATGGTTCAATAAATTACCTGAAAACGTTAGGTTTGTGATGCCTATATACAGTTAAAAAGAGGTTTAATTAAAATGATAGGAAAAAGATATTGTATTGGGATCCGTCAAATGGGCATACACCGTCTGGTGGCAAAATTTATAACTCGAATGAGGGAAAAATTTACATAGGAACTGTGCACGCAAATTGTAAAATTGTTTATTAAAATAATAAAACACGTTAAAAAAGTAAAAATTTTTTTGATGATGGAGTCGACGAAGTTTTCTTCTAAAGTTAAATCAAATAAAAAGTTAATATGTTCAGTGAAAAGCTGCAATAGCACTTCAGACATAGATCTTCACTCTTCACCTACATTAACTACTTTCCAATAAAAACTAACCGTTTTATATATGTAAAAAATATATTCGGAAAATTAGAGAAAAAAGTAAACTAATAGAAGCTTGGATGAAAGCAGTAGGTATCAAAGAAGTGAATTCCGGAATAAAAATTTGTTCACGTCATTTTAATGCACATGATTATATTTCAGCAAGTATTTACCATCAGCCATAACCTTAATATTTAAAACTAGAATCATACTAAAATTATAAAGTGAGAAATTATTTATTCCTGTGTAATTGATTTAACACAATTCTAATGATACGATATAAGTATTTTGAGGTTAAGAACCTACCTGCTGCAATACAACAAAGTTGCAATAATGTGTTTGCAACGTTCTCTTAAATCGGCTTTGCACGTGCAAGTCATTGATATGATATTGCTTAAATCACCCAGAATCACCTCACCAATTATATAACGTGAATCACTTTTTAAATCCGAAGTTTGTAAAAAGTAGGCAGTAAACTTGACGGAATTTGAAGGCTAGCTTCCGGATTTGTTATTTCCGAATTTTATAATGTGATTGGCATTAAAAACACGCTCACCTTCAACGAAATTTCCTTTCCGAGGCTTTGTGTCAGCCCAATCACATATTGTGTCAATACTTATCATTTTATCGTAATTTAAAAACTTGGAAATTGCACGGTACACTATAGGAACTACGATAAATTTTCCCTAATCGGCGCCATGTTTTTAGGCTCCTCCCATTTGACGGATCCCAATAGGTTATTGGAGTTACATACATATAAATGTTGTAACGAGGTCACGAAAATCGTGTGTCCCTTGTGATGATTGACATAATTTATTTGCAAGACCTTTTGCGCCTTTTCCTGATGTAGTTATAGGTTCACCAAAATAGCAAAAGCAACAAAATTATATAAGCGTCGTGAACTAAATATTGTTAACGACAATTAAACTGAGAAAAAAAGGAAAGGTTTTCTTGGGATTACCTGAACTCTTGCTTCACTAAGTCCTAAACGCTGGCTAAGTTCCTCTCTCATGAAAGCGTCCGGGTAGTGAGTTTCGTCAAAAAGTCTCTCCAATTCGTTTAGCTGCTCCAGGGTGAAATTTGTTCGCGATCTTCTCTGTTTAGCCGTTGTTGACGATTTCGGAATTTCGTTGCCATTCGAATTCCCATTCGAAGAGCTTCGAACATCTTCAACTAAACATTGATTTTCAGGTTTACATTAATGCCTTCGGGTATTACTTAAAAAATAAATAATATTTAACTAGTTGTACCTTGGGAGGTCATCATTATAAGGTCCGTACAAAACCGTGGTTGAAACCTACATATTTAATAATCCTTTTCGAAGTGGTTTCTTTTTGACTACGTTCCCTGTCCTGAGTTATCTAACTTCCTAGCTTTCAAAAATTAGCGACTTTTTCCAGTGTTTGCCTTCAATTTTTATATGTATTAATCTCTACATAAAATTATAAATTATACTAAGGCTAAAATACCCTGTATTTTCGTTGGGTTATTTTACAATTGACTGTAGATTTGGTGGTAGAATGAAGATAACCAAATAATCGATATGAAATTTTAGTTTCGTTTTTATGCCAATGTGTGTGTGCGTGTGTCATTATTTGATTGAATTTATAGAGGGGCGGATTAAATAATCCTATTTTGGCAATTTAAATCTAGCAAAAAAAATCCAGCCCTCGCAGTCTAACTCAGTAAACAAATCTTTATCGGGGAAACGAACTGTATAAAAGACAAACAGAAAGCCTAATTCGTTTTATATGGACGAAAAATACTGAGCATTACAATTGAAAACATTCGCCTGTGTTTTTTTTTTATATTCCGATTTAAATTGAATGAAAAATTTGGAACCATTAATTTTGTATACGTTCAACTGAACAAATAGAATTTTTATTCCGATTCATGTGAATGGATAACATTTTTACATAAAGGCTGCATAAAACAGATGCAGAGAATTAATTAACCAATAACTAATTTGTTTTTGTTAATCTGAAATATTTTTAATATTATGATGGATGCGCTTACCACTTGTTCCAAAAGCTTTTTGAGTTAAGAGAAAAAATGGAATTTGTCTGCACATCTCTCATACCTAATACCTTTTTTTCACAAATTTGTCATAGCAATTAGACATGCTGACGCCATATTTTCCGAAAAAAATATTATAAATAAAGCTACTAAAACTGGGTTATGAAAAAATGAAGCTTCTGCTAATACAGATTTATCAAAATTTGAATTCTTTGTTTTAATACTTTGGCATATGAAATTAATAATGGCTTGGGGGATGTTATTCCTGTTTTTGTAATCATAAGTTCAAATATTGTTGAAGTGTTTTTATTTCCAATATGTCAATACAGTGTTCCGCTTCTACTCGGTTGGCATTTAAATATAAATTACGAAAACAAATTGCTTCTGGTGGATGGTCGAAATGTTCAATAAATCAGTTTAATTCATTTAACAGCTTCGATAATGTATTCTTTATAAAGCATTTCGAGCGATGAAGTGAACAAGAATTGGATATTTTTGTGTGTATATGTATATATATAAAGAAGGGCGTGTACAAACGGTTGCAATCGTTTTAATGAAGGGGTGCAAATCTGAGGTAAGATGTTAGTAGTTTATTTACACTTTCAATCAGAGCAAAGCGTTTTATCGATTCAAGCAATTACTCGGGTCATCGTAGTAAGCTGTGACGTCGTCGAAGTAAAGGCAACTAACTGAGTTGCCTATAGGATCTTTCCACTTCATTTAGGCGCAGCAACATACTTTGTATCCTCGTTACGGTAATGGAATTAAATTAATCTGGGCGCTATTTCGCACTAGCTTTATTGCCGCGGGGGTTAAAAGGGGATGCCATTAAATACAGCTCTTGTCTGCGCTAATTCCTCTCCAGGGATATCGTTCAGTCTCGACGGTTTCAAGGAGTGAAACACCTCCAACGAGTCGGCGCAAATCATTCCTTGCGCCCATTTTCATTCCTTTATTTTTACAACTGCACAATTCCGAATGATGTATTGAATTTGAAAAAATTACCAAATTCCTGGTCACTTTTCAACAACTGACGCAGACCCGGAAAGACAAAACATCATGCCGAAAATGAGTAATATCAAAGAAAAGGCTTTATTATTTAACACTACATGACGTCTAAAGATATGTGATGTGCGATTCCCAATATTGTATTGAATTCCAAAAAGTTACCAAATTCCAGCTCACTGTTCAACAACTAACGAAGCGCCGAAGAGGCGAAAACATCACGCCGGAAATGAGTAATATCAAAGAAAATGCGTTATTATTTAACTCTACATGATGTCTAAAAATATGTGCGATTCCCAATATTGTATAGAATTCCAAAAAGTTTCCAAATTCCTGCTCACTCTTCAATAACTAACGCAGCTTCAGGTGGCTGAAGACATCACACCATAAATGAAATATCAAAAAAAAAACGCTTAATTATTGAACACTACATTGACTTGAAAGATTTGCAAGATTCCCAGTATCGTATTGAATTCCAAAAGTTACCAAATTTCTGCTCACTGTTCAACAACTAAGGCAGCCTCAGATGGCTGAAACCATCACACTATAAATGAAACATCAAAGAAAAAGGTTAATTATTAAACACTAATACATGACATCTAAATATACGAGGGTGGATTGATAAGTTTCCGGCCTAACCAAGAGATGACGCCACTAGGCCTACCTTGAGGTGACATTCTATAGTACCATCCTTGGATAGCTTGTAGCTATAGTTTCAGCCCGATCTCCTTGCTAGTGTAGGTTTGACAGCACGCTGAACAAGACGCCTCTGTGGTTTTCGTAAAAATGGAAAAGCAGGAAAATCGTGCTGTCATCAAATACTTTTATTTGAAGGGGTTAACGCCGAAGGAAATTAAAAAAGAGATGGACTCAACACTGGGGACATCCTCCCCGTCATATTCAACCGTTAAGCAGTGGGTTTCCGAGTTTAAAAAGGGTCGTGTGAGCACCTCTGATGGGCCTCGCTCAGGACGCCCCGTTGAGGTCACAACTCCAGATATGATCGAAAAAATTCATCAAATAGTGCTGGGAGACCGCAGATTGAAAGTGCGTGAGATAGCTGAGACCTGTAAGATGTCATATGAACGTGTGCAACATATTTTGCACCAACATTTGCATATGGAAAAGCTCTGTGCAAGATGGGTGCCGCGTTTGCTAACAGTCGACCAAAAATTGATTCGAAAAAACATTTCTACCGCAAATTTGTCATTGTATAAGCGTAATCCAAGCGAATTTTTGCGTCGATTCGTAACCGTTGACGAAACGTGGGTCCACCACTACACTCCTGAAACCAAAGAACAGTCTAAACAGTGGATTGGACCAGGGGAACCAACTCCAAAGAAGGCAAAAACAATTTTTTCGGCGAACAAGGTTATGGCTACTGTTTTTTGGGATGCAAGAGGTATTATATACATTGATTACCTTGCAAAGGGTAATACTATCACTGGTCAATACTACGCAGACTTATTGCAACGTTTGAGCCACGAGGTGAAAATTAAACGACCTCATCTGGCGAAGAAAAAAATCTTGTTTCATCACGATAACGCACCAGCGCACACGTCAATCGTTGCGACGGCTAAAATCAACGATCTAAAGTTTGAATTGATGCCGCACCCTCCTTACTCTCCAGACCTAGCCCCGAGTGACTATTTTCTGTTCCCTAATCTCAAAAAATGGCTTGGCGGTAAGAGATTTGCGGACAATGAAGAAGTAATCGAAGCTGTAAATGGTTATTTTGAGGAGCTTGACGAATCAGTCTATAGAGATGGCATTAATAGACTGGAACACCGCTATGAGAAATGTATCAGCCTTGGAGGAGATTATGTTGAGAAATAAAAAAAAAAAATTTTTAAAAACCTCATTTTTCTTGGTCAGGCCGGAAACTTATCAATCCACCCTCGTATCAAAGAAAAAGTTTAATTATTGAACACTACATGACGTTGAAAGATTTGCAAGATTCCCATTATTGCATTGAATTTGAAAACGTTACCAAATTCCTGTTCACTCTTTATCAACTAACGCAGCCTCAGATGGATGTAAGCATCACACTAGAAATGAATAATATCAAAGGATAAGCTTAATTATTGAACACTACACGGTGTCTAAAGATATGCGGGATTCCCAACATAGTATTGAATTTGAATTCCTGCTCACTATAAACAACCCTGTCCCGGATGAATAAAACCATAACACCAGAAATTAATATCAACACTCCATGACGTCTAAGGACAATAAATATCGTACCAACTCAGAAAAGGGGGGACTTTGTTCTTTATTTTTGCATTTACTGCCCTTCAAATTTTTGGAATTAAAGTTTTTTATTTAAATTTAAAGTTGTTAGGAAAATTAATGAATTTCCAAAATCCAGGGTCGTCGCGTTGGTATGGAATTTGAGTCAATTATGTGCAAAAGAAATTTTGGGTCAATTTCCATATGGCCCATGGGAGGTTGGACTGAAACGGCCTTCGTTCCTCCAATAACGTGAACCGTTTGCCCATTGGAACTTCAGCTTTTGTTGTATTGACCATGAAAAAATGCGACTTTTACTGTTAAACACAAGATTTACAAAATTTTGTTAACAAAAGATTTTGGTATTTTCACGCACCAAGACGGTAATGTCTTGGTATTATGGTACTACATGGTACAAGTTATTAAAAACTGATACAAATAGGTACAAATACCATGAAATTGGTTCATCTAACATTACTAAGGAAGAAAACATTTTTGCCGCCCTCACATTTGCATCACCCGGGGCCTTATCTTCAGACATACAATTTACTCATTTATTTGTTTGTTTGGTTTCAAGAATTTCCAGGTTTCATGGTTTCCAGTTGCTTTATTCTGATATAACTTTTATAGAATTATTTTTTCATTTGTTTGCGTGATGAAGTTTCAAAAAAAAAATGAAAATTTCATTGTCAAGAAAGCAATTATACTGTTCTTCTGGATTTACTTTGAATGTTAACGTATTTGGTCATCTATTTGCGTGATGAAAATTGCTGATTTGGTTGATAATTTATTGTCATTATTTGTCAGTGCAAAATTTCGATAAACTATTTTTGATTTGATGAGTAATTTTTGCTAAATAATAGAGATAACAATCTCCAAAAAGGGACTATTCTTTTTAAAGAAATTCCAACTCCAAGTCCTTCCGCACATGGTACAAAAATGTTTCTGTGCATGGTATCTTTTATCATGCATCTCAATTTCTTAGTATGATTTTACATTTTTGACAGTACGGAATTAACTAAATAGAAAAGTGTTTTAGTGTGTTGGAGTTCATTAACCACAAGATTCACCTCTGTCTCGAAATTGGCCCTTAAACTGGAAAAATAACCCCTCCGGTTGTTCATTTTAACGCCTTCATGATTGTAGGCGCTTGCTTATGCGAGACAGTAATTAATTACATTTTCTTAATTGAGGCATCTAATTTTCCAGTGTTTTCTCCTAACTGTGTTTCCTAATTAGTTAATTGCCGTTTCAGAAAAGCCCTTTTGCGAGTTCACTACGTCTTAAACTTAGATAAAAAGACCGAAGTAGCTTGCAGCCGAGGCAAAATGAAGTACACTTAACGGTAATGGGAATTTACCTTATAAATAATTTACAACTCTCTCAGAAAAACGAATTACGCGGTCTGCATTCCAATGGATTAAGAAAGCATCCTAACGAAAGCCAATTAATTGATTATTTACGCCTTTTTTTAAGAAATCTGTTAATATTTTTTTATTCATTTTTGAACGATTCTAAAAGAATCTTAAAAACTGTAATTCATCTTCAATTTTACGGTTTCTCTCGTTTTTTGAAAACTTAATTTAACATAATTCTTTTATTTTTACTTTCAGATTTGTGTGGAAAGCTGTAGTGATGACACCTTGGTGAGTGAATTGATTGTACATACTTATTACTAATTTTAGTTAAGATATCACAAAATGTTAGAGTGATTGAAGTCCGTGTCATATGCCTAAATGTTTAAACATTTGTTTAACACCATGAATCACGAAAAAAAAAATTGCAACTGTAGCAATTTACATTTTACGTGATTATTTCTCTCACCTCGTAGAATTAGCCAGTATATTTAGGAACCATGTTGATAATGATCATCAAGTTAATTAATTATAGTAATTAGCCATATTCTGGATCAATTATTTTCACAGAAAAAATATATTTCCGAGTTAACCACGACAAACTTGGCTAATTAGGATCTTTTCTCAAGTTCAATCGCTTTACATTCCTTAACATTATTTGCGAAGGGGTGGTAATGTAATATTTATAATTATTATGCACAAACATTCTATTAGCAGTTGTATTTTTGATGAGAGACGCTGCATTATTTATTTTCTCTTTTAAGACATTACTTTTACAAAATAAATTTTATTTCTTACGAACTATAGACGTACAAGCTGTTAGTAATGAATATGAGATTTTATTTATAAAATTATTTTAATCCTTTATTGTAGAAAAGATTTGTAGATATTTGATTGCAACTTTATAACAATTTAAAGTTACTAGAAAGAGGGTTGGTTTAAATACTGTTAAAATTGTTGAATGAAAATTAAGTAGAAAACTTACACAGTCTTTTTGAAGACGGGTTTTCCAAAACAGGAGGTCTGGAAGAGGACTCCTGCTGGTCTTCAACTCTTTCGATCCGAAAGTTTTCGGGACTTGATTTAGATTCTTCCAAATCAATTGGAGAAGATGAAAACGATGTTTGATTACTTTTTAAGTTCTTAATATCGTCATTAAGGAACCACACACCACTACGTTCACTGTTATCAATTATTGTCAAATTAGTAGCTTCGTTTTCTGTTAAACTATTCCTTCGGGATTCTTTGTTTTCCTTGAATGGAAAATTCGCACTTGACGTCGAAATATTTTGAGAGCTGCAATTGACGACAACTTCGTCTTCCTTATCATCACTAGAAATGTCTGATATCAGCCAGTTTTTGGCTACTGGAGTGACTTTCCTTTTCTTAGGAAGCGGAAGTTCCGCATCAATTCCCTTTTCAATTTCCTGATTTTTATTAAATTCTTCATCGCTCATTTTCGCGACTGTTTTATCAAAATTCACCGTCGAACACTGTTCAGCACTAACTTGATCGCTTTCGTTCTCGAAAGATCGGGTAACAAATTGTGTGAGCTTATCCATTTTAAGGGGTAAAAAAATGCTTTTATTAAGCGTTTTCAATCCGAGACAACATGCGTTAGTCTTTTCCCAATTTTTGCCCAGGTCAAATCGACGGCGAAACTTGGGACGCCATCACTTCGACGCCAGGCGTCTGCGTCCAAATTGGGGGTGGTTAATCAGCACGCCCTTTTCGCAATCGTCTACCCTATTGGACGGCACCCTTAGAGGGTTGCAAAATACCTCTTTATTCCCAACAAAAGCACTTTATTTATCGTTCTAACATCCGTCAATATTAAAGACCGACCGAGTCCTGTACATTTTCGACACTTGCTTCCGTTATTCAGTTGTTTTTAAGATTATGAAAATCAGAGAACATATTCATTGCACTAAAAAACTGTCTTAATTTTCTCCTATGTCTCTTAATTGCGGTTCTTTTTACTTTTTTTGGTTCTTGACATAGATAAACTTGTTTTAAAAANTAAGAACAACAAAAGTGAAGGTTTAAAATATCTTCTAAAATTATTATTTTTGAATTAAAATATCTACGTTTTGCCCACATAGTAAACGTTAAATGGTTATTAAGAAATCTATTCTCTTTTGATAAATTTTTTGGTTGTAAGACTGCCTAAATATAAGTATTCTAATAATTGTAACCTCAAAAGTCATAAGTGTTAACCTTTGTCCCTAATATTATTTAATAAAGGTAAAAATGTCCGATATTGGTCCCTTTCAATATTTTATTTGTGGTGGTTTTGGTGGAATATGTACTGTGCTTACAGGACATCCTCTGGACACTGTAAAGGTAAGAACTGAAAATATTTCATAAGGTTTCTTGTGTTTTCAAAATCATTCTAGGTCCGTATGCAAACAATGCCGTTACCTAAACCTGGAGAAGTCCCTTTATATACAGGCACCTGGAATTGTATTGTAAAGACTGTTCGCAATGAAGGTGTCCTTGGATTATATAAAGGAATGGGTGCTCCCTTAATGGGTGTAGCACCAATATTTGCTATTTCTTTCTTTGGTTATGGAGTAGGAACTCAGATATTTGGCCCTAAAGAGGAAGGGAAACGTATGACAACACTTCAGTATTTTAGTGCAGGTGCATTGTCAGGAATATTAACCACTGTTATTATGGCTCCTGGGGAACGTATTAAGTGCCTTCTTCAAATCCAACAAGATGTAACCAAACCTCAGTTATACAGTGGACCACTAGATTGTGCCAAAAAGTTGTATAAAGAAGGAGGTATTCGCAGTATTTACAGGGGGTCACTTGCTACAATGTGTAGAGGTAATTATAAATATATTATTACAAAACTTAACATAAAACTTTTTTGAATAAGAACTTTCAGTTAGAAATAATGTATTTAAACTAAGAAATTCTTATTTATTATTTAAAGGAATAATTTTCAGCATATATGAAACTGAAAATTTATTTAGAACATATTCTTTATTAATAGCTTACTTTCCTTACAAAATATCATAAATTTCTTAATTCTTAAATATGTAGGAAGTAAGGAATAGTATACAAGAAGTAACATCAGAAATATAAATACTAAGACTTATAAATTAACTTAAATTATATTACATTTTTGATTAAAACCAAAACTAAATTTTGTAATAGTAAATTTATTCTATTACTTAATGTCGTTTTATTATCTACACAACGAATTTGGCAGATAAACTTCTTTTATACTTTAGTACTTATCTTTCTTAATGCTCTGTATTTTCTTCTATGTGATTCATGTTTTAATTTCCTCCACATTTTCCGGTTATCAGACATTTTTTTGAAATTATTATCTACTGAACTAGGCAAAAGAAGCCCATAGTCTTTCTTTAATAAATTTAAATCATTTATTTCATTATTTTCGTTGTTTGCTATTTCATCAACAGGAAATAAAGAGACTTTCGGGGGTATATCGTTATAGTTTAAATTTTGATTTGTATTAGTAGTGTAGTCATTGTAACTGGCAATATCTGAACTGCTATTGTGTAAACGATTTTTCTTTTTTAGATATTCAAGTTCATCTTGATCCATTGCAGTATTGTTTAATACTGTTTCAGTATGCATTTTCTTTTTTAATTTTGGTCTAAACTCAGGACAAGCCAGTTGCTTTCTCATGACATGAAAAACACTCCAGTCTTTAAATTTTAAAGGTGTCGTACACTTTGGTGCTACCTTTGTATCAAACAAATACTTAGTCACATGTCTGTCTTCATAGGGGCAAGCAACCCCTTTGTCGTGATTAAAATCGCAGATTTTTAAATGTTTTTGCTTTACCTTATTAATAACCATAGGCTTCCAATCATCCATATGACAACTGCAGTGCCATGGATTTTCTGTTAAGCGAATTAATTTTGGATGTATTTTTGAGAATATTCCTCTTGGCAAAATAGAAAAACTATTTTCATTCAGGTATAATTCTTTTAAGCTTATTAAAGGGTCAAATACGTTAGGTGGTAGAAACTGTAGGTTATTTCTAGATAAATCTAAAATTCGCAATTTTGATAGTCCCATGAATGAATCCATAGAAAGTTCCTGTAATTTACATCTACTAAGAATTAGTCTTTGAAGAATATTTGTTTCCATAAATGCATCATATTCTATCTTTGTAATGTTACCAGAAATGCCTAATTCTTTCAAATTTGGCATTCCAAAGAGAAGTTCTCTCTGGAGTAAAGTAATTAGAACATTTTCCAATGTAAGTTTCTGTAGTAATTTTAGTCCAGAAAATGAATTAGGTAACAATTTCATTGGTGTGTCTGTACTTCCTAGTATTAGAGAGTCTGTTGTGTTTAAAACTTCAAAAGTACTTGGAAAAACTGCTGTTATAGGATTATCTTTAAAATCAGCGAGTTTTAACTTTGGAAAAGGTGGAAGTGATAACTCAGACAATTGGGAAAAATTATTATGAGACACATCTAAATATTCTAACTCTAATAGTCCTGCCAAATCCGTTACTTGTATATTTAATAAATTATTCCAAGCTAATGATAAGCTCTTTAGATTTGGAATTCCATAAAATACAAAATCAGGTAGAAACATAATACGGTTTTTCTCAAGAATTAAATGTTGCAACTTATGTAATCCTTCAAACATTTCCCATTTTAAAATATTTAATTTGCAATTGCTTACCCTTAATAACTGTAAATTTGTAAATCCTATAAATAACGGTGATTCTATTTCTTCATGTTTATATTCCTTGTATGGAAGAATCTCATCTTCCTTCGATCCTTTCTGAACAAATGTTAATGGAGGCAGTTTAGAATTTAACTGTTGTGTAAATTCAAACGTTACGCTTTCTTCCTTAGGTCTTAGCTCTTCCAATGGAAAACGGAGTTTGGAGTTTTTTATATGGACGTTTTCTAAATTTAAATATTCTAAAGATGGTAAAAATGCGTCAAAGACACTGATAAAACTATCGTTATTTTGTCCTAAAAATAAATTTGTTCCTTGAAGTTCCACAATTTTTAAATCTTCAAATTTTAAAAAGTTGCTGAAGGATATTGTTTTGTTTCCTGATTCGAATCCTTGAATAAATCGTAAAGATTGGATATCTTTTGGAAGTCCTTTTAATAAATCGTCTGCATTCGTTTCAGTTTGCAAAAGACATGTTACCGATTTAAACAGAAAATTTTCCAAATTTGTTTCAAAACTATCATCATATATTACCTAAAACGTACAAGAATTTGTGGCTACTTATTTATTATTTGTATATCTAGTGTTTTTTACCTCGTTGTTAAGATGAAAATCTGACTCTGTTAAAGTCTGTTTTTCGATAAAATGATTTTTAAAACCATAAACAGAAGTTTCTGTTAAATGTACCAAACTACACGTACACGATTCGTGGCAGTCGACATCCGCGTCCCATAAAGAGTACACCTAAAAACACGATTATATTTTTTAATGATTTTGTAAAATGTTTTTCATTAGTTTGTAAATATTTCAGCACTTACACTTCTTAATAAAACTAATACCACAAAATTTTGCCCCCACATATTTCGGTTTAATTTAATTGTAAAATATCTTGTCAAAGATGCTACAAATCGTTATGAAACTGCTACATGAATGATTGTATCAAGGAAGTTCACCCCCACTTGCTTCCTGTCTAATATCTCTTGTGAGAAACAGAAATACATCCTCTTTGTTTCCAATTCATATGTTTAAAAAACTGCAAAGTTTACACATATCTATTTAGCTCTAATTAAATAACATTAATTTCAATGTGTATTTTCATGATAATAACTTATTGAGTTTTTTTTATATTTCTATTTCAGTGTTTGTTTAATTGTTTTTGACAAAATATTTTTTTTAAGACTGTCCTGCTAGTGGTCTTTATTTCCTAACTTATGAATCAATAAAAAATTTTGCAACAAACAATGGAGAGAAGCAAATCGGTTTTGGTTATACCTTATTAGCAGGGGGGTGTGCAGGTATAGCAAACTGGTTAGTTGGGATGCCTCCAGATGTTCTTAAGAGTCGTCTTCAAACGGGTAATAAATCATATATTTCATCATTTTCATTTTTCTTTCAAAATTCATACCTGCTATTTGTTTCAGCGCCAGAAGGAACTTATCCAAACGGCATGAGGGATGTTTTTCGGGATCTAATGCAAAAAGAGGGGCCATTAGCTTTATATAAAGGCATAACTCCTGTTTTGCTAAGGGCGTTCCCGGCTAACGCCGCTTGCTTTTTAGGTTTTGAGCTGTGTAAAAGATTTTTGGAATATTTATCTCCACCAAAAAAGGAGTTACAAATTTAAATATCAGTAAAGCAAGTTTATAAACTGCTATTAGTTTCGTAACATATCAAGGCTGTTGGAATCAAATTTTAATAAATTTATAGTTTTTAGCAGTTTAAAAACTAAGAGGTAATCTCATCGAATTGAAAAAAGAGAATGTATTTTTTGACGCACAAAATAAGTCTTTCATTTGTTATAAATTATTAAAATATTGATGTTAATCCTTTGAATATATGTTTTTTAAATGAAAAGTTTTTCAATTATTTCCTATGCTTTGCAAAGTGCGCTTAATTGACGTGGTGTGTTCTATTGGTATTAATTATAAATTAATTTAAATTGAACCTTTATAATTGATACCGAAAAAGCGCATCAAAAGTTTTGATGTTTACATACAATATTAAGATGCCGCAAAAAGTTGCTCGACTTCCGTGCATTATTTTCGACGCGCATTGTATAAACGCGGTGTTTTTTTAATTGAGTTCTAAATTAGAACAAAATTATTTATTTAACAGCAACTCTGTGCGGTTGTTGCGTAATGTATTACTATGCATTATCCCAACTTGTGATCGATTGCAAAAAAAAATCTAGCGGTTAAGTCCAATAGACCCCTGTTTGCACACGCGATTTACTTTTAATGTTACAATGTCTTGATAATGAAGGCCAATTTTATTTAAATTGCCTTGCAAATGGGATATCAAACTCATAAAGTAACAGAATATACGTTTGTTAAACAGGAAGTACATTGTGCATACAGTCATCAGCGTAAATAATAATGAGCGCGCAAAAATATTTGTGTTTGGGACTAAAATTAATTTATTTATTTTATGAGTAGTCTAGTAATATGTACTATAAAAAACAATTAGGGCATAATGGGATAATTATTTAAGTCTCGTTTAAAATATTAATATTTGCATAACACCCATCATGTACAAAATGCATAGTATCTGTCATTATGTACTTAAACTTGCAATTTTCTTGTTGATTTGCAATCTTATGTGGAAGTTTCAAATTGAAAAAATACTTTAGCAGGACATGCCTTGTTATTAAGTAAAATGAAGAAATAGTTTCTTTTTAATATTTTGGATTGAAAAGTGTCGTAATTATTAAGCAATCTTTTGGTGTAGCTCTTATAAATATTTAACAGTTACACCTGTAGCAGTTTATAGTAGTAATATACCATAATTAGAGAGTATGGTAGTAGGACATGAATTAATTTAAATATCCCGTTAGATGTGTAATACCGACGCCTATGTGCAAATGATTTTTTATGCAAAATATTTAATTTGATACGGTTGAGATAGGCTCTGTTAATTTATTCTGCGTGATTAGTAGAAAAAACCTCCTAAAATCGGTTTGATGACGAATGACGATGAAATAGCCCTGTTTTGAATAGCCCATTTGCAGGATAAACTTAGTGATACGACATTGGATAGACAAGGATGCCATTATTTTTTCGTTCTGTTTTTCTCGTTTGTCATGTATGGTGGTAATTTCATGAGCTCTGCTCTTGTCTATGATTTGTTGTTTCAATTTTTCTGTATAGTAGCTCTGTAGTTCTATATTATCGCATTGTATTCGAGTGGGCCGTGGTCGAATTCTAGTGATAGTGTATGGAAATAGTTCTGTATCATAAGTTACAGTTCCTGTTATAGATAAAATTTGTAGCCAGCGTTGTCATTATCATCGTAAAAAATTTTTTGGTAAAGTGCAGCTCGTTTGGTATTTTTGTAGTGTCTGAGTCAGGTTAACTAGTGACAACAAACATGTTTAGTTGGCTTAATAAAAGCAGTACTCGAGAAGAAGTGTACGAAGATGTAGTAACAGGGCTTAAAAACATTTACAAAACCAAACTGTTACCCCTGGAACAGCATTACCAGTTTCATGACTTCCATTCCCCACAGTTAGAAGATTCCGATTTTGATGCAAAACCAATGATACTGCTGGTAGGTCAATATTCAACAGGAAAAACTACTTTCATCAAGTACTTACTGGAGAGAGACTTTCCTGGAATTAGAATAGGACCGGAACCAACTACTGACCGCTTCATTGCTGTAATGTATGATGAAAAAGAGGGAATGATTCCAGGTAATGCTTTGGTTGTTGATCCCAAAAAGCAATTTAGACCACTTTCAAAGTTTGGAAATGCTTTCTTAAATCGCCTTCAGTGTTCACTAGTTCCTTCTCCTGTTCTTAAAAACATTTCTATAGTTGATACCCCAGGCATATTATCAGGAGAAAAGCAAAGGGTTGACAGGGGCTATGATTTCACTGGTGTATTGGAATGGTTTGCAGAAAGAGTAGACAGAATAATTCTTTTGTTTGATGCTCATAAATTAGATATTTCAGACGAATTTCGTCGTTCTATTGAAGCATTAAGGGGTCATGATGACAAAATACGTATTGTTTTAAACAAAGCAGATATGATTGATCACCAACAACTTATGAGGGTTTATGGAGCTCTTATGTGGTCACTTGGCAAAGTACTTCAAACCCCTGAGGTAGCTAGGGTGTACATTGGTTCATTTTGGGATCAGCCCTTAAGATATGATGTTAATAGAAGACTCTTTGAAGATGAAGAGCAAGATTTGTTTAAAGATTTGCAGTCTCTGCCTAGAAATGCAGCTTTAAGAAAACTAAATGACTTAATTAAAAGAGCTAGATTGGCAAAGGTTCATGCCTACATCATTGCTGAATTACGTAAAGACATGCCATCAATGTTTGGCAAAGATTCTAAAAAGAAGGACCTTATAAAAAATCTTGGGCAAATCTATGATAAATTACAACGTGAACACCAAATTTCCCCTGGAGATTTTCCTGAAATTAAAAAAATGCAAGAAGTTTTACAAAATCAAGATTTTACTAAATTTCATCCACTAAAGCCAAAATTGCTAGAAATTGTAGACAGGATGCTAGCTGATGATATTTCAACATTAATGGCAAAAATACCACAAGAGGAAGAAAATCACATTTCTGAGACCAAGCTTGTTAAAGGTGGGGCATTTGAAAATGTTGAAGATACAATTTCTCCCTTTGGTTATAAAAGAGGGGAGGGAATTGATGCTGGATTTGGTGAGCCTAACTGGATTGTTAGCAAATTTAAACCCAAATTTGATGAAATATTTGAAAATCTGGAACCAATTGATGGAAAAATTACAGGAGCTGGTAAGAATTAATTAATATTGAATTACATAATACTTGTTAAATCTTATCAGTAGGTGTTTAATGAGATTCAAAGTTTACAGTTCATTTAAAACTCTTATCTTTTATGTTTCATTTTATATTACTGATACCTGGTGTTTATTTTAAAATTCAATAAATAACTATTATTTTCAATATAATAAAATTAAACAAATATCTACGTTTTGCCCACATAGTAAACGTTAAATGGTTATTAAGAAATCTATTCTCTTTTGATAAATTTTTTGGTTGTAAGACTGCCTAAATATAAGTATTCTAATAATTGTAACCTCAAAAGTCATAAGTGTTAACCTTTGTCCCTAATATTATTTAATAAAGGTAAAAATGTCCGATATTGGTCCCTTTCAATATTTTATTTGTGGTGGTTTTGGTGGAATATGTACTGTGCTTACAGGACATCCTCTGGACACTGTAAAGGTAAGAACTGAAAATATTTCATAAGGTTTCTTGTGTTTTCAAAATCATTCTAGGTCCGTATGCAAACAATGCCGTTACCTAAACCTGGAGAAGTCCCTTTATATACAGGCACCTGGAATTGTATTGTAAAGACTGTTCGCAATGAAGGTGTCCTTGGATTATATAAAGGAATGGGTGCTCCCTTAATGGGTGTAGCACCAATATTTGCTATTTCTTTCTTTGGTTATGGAGTAGGAACTCAGATATTTGGCCCTAAAGAGGAAGGGAAACGTATGACAACACTTCAGTATTTTAGTGCAGGTGCATTGTCAGGAATATTAACCACTGTTATTATGGCTCCTGGGGAACGTATTAAGTGCCTTCTTCAAATCCAACAAGATGTAACCAAACCTCAGTTATACAGTGGACCACTAGATTGTGCCAAAAAGTTGTATAAAGAAGGAGGTATTCGCAGTATTTACAGGGGGTCACTTGCTACAATGTGTAGAGGTAATTATAAATATATTATTACAAAACTTAACATAAAACTTTTTTGAATAAGAACTTTCANTAGAAAAGATTTGTAGATATTTGATTGCAACTTTATAACAATTTAAAGTTACTAGAAAGAGGGTTGGTTTAAATACTGTTAAAATTGTTGAATGAAAATTAAGTAGAAAACTTACACAGTCTTTTTGAAGACGGGTTTTCCAAAACAGGAGGTCTGGAAGAGGACTCCTGCTGGTCTTCAACTCTTTCGATCCGAAAGTTTTCGGGACTTGATTTAGATTCTTCCAAATCAATTGGAGAAGATGAAAACGATGTTTGATTACTTTTTAAGTTCTTAATATCGTCATTAAGGAACCACACACCACTACGTTCACTGTTATCAATTATTGTCAAATTAGTAGCTTCGTTTTCTGTTAAACTATTCCTTCGGGATTCTTTGTTTTCCTTGAATGGAAAATTCGCACTTGACGTCGAAATATTTTGAGAGCTGCAATTGACGACAACTTCGTCTTCCTTATCATCACTAGAAATGTCTGATATCAGCCAGTTTTTGGCTACTGGAGTGACTTTCCTTTTCTTAGGAAGCGGAAGTTCCGCATCAATTCCCTTTTCAATTTCCTGATTTTTATTAAATTCTTCATCGCTCATTTTCGCGACTGTTTTATCAAAATTCACCGTCGAACACTGTTCAGCACTAACTTGATCGCTTTCGTTCTCGAAAGATCGGGTAACAAATTGTGTGAGCTTATCCATTTTAAGGGGTAAAAAAATGCTTTTATTAAGCGTTTTCAATCCGAGACAACATGCGTTAGTCTTTTCCCAATTTTTGCCCAGGTCAAATCGACGGCGAAACTTGGGACGCCATCACTTCGACGCCAGGCGTCTGCGTCCAAATTGGGGGTGGTTAATCAGCACGCCCTTTTCGCAATCGTCTACCCTATTGGACGGCACCCTTAGAGGGTTGCAAAATACCTCTTTATTCCCAACAAAAGCACTTTATTTATCGTTCTAACATCCGTCAATATTAAAGACCGACCGAGTCCTGTACATTTTCGACACTTGCTTCCGTTATTCAGTTGTTTTTAAGATTATGAAAATCAGAGAACATATTCATTGCACTAAAAAACTGTCTTAATTTTCTCCTATGTCTCTTAATTGCGGTTCTTTTTACTTTTTTTGGTTCTTGACATAGATAAACTTGTTTTAAAAAAATATAAAAAGTAACTTCTAGTTAATTTTCAGTCCATTAAATAAAAAGGGACCAAACATGTATCATTTAAGCATTATGAAAATTTACTTTTAAATAGTTTTAGAATTTCTTAATATTGAAGTTCTCTTTCATCATATCTTAATCGCAATGTTTATTAATTTTAGTTTAAGTTGAATTAGCTTATTTTTTGTTTTGATAAAAACGTTATTAGCTTTCTTATTGGAAAGTGCTTTAACAGTAATTACTATTATTTTAAAATTAAATATGGTGCTAATAAGAGACCTCTACATTTAAGTCGTCAAACTAATAATTTACCCGGATTTTAAAATTTACTTTACAAGACTCTATGGTCATCTCTATGACTCTTCTTTACCTAAACAAGAACCATTGAGTGATATAACCCTAAATATAATCTTTAAGAACAACAAAAGTGAAGGTTTAAAATATCTTCTAAAATTATTATTTTTGAATTAAAATATCTACGTTTTGCCCACATAGTAAACGTTAAATGGTTATTAAGAAATCTATTCTCTTTTGATAAATTTTTTGGTTGTAAGACTGCCTAAATATAAGTATTCTAATAATTGTAACCTCAAAAGTCATAAGTGTTAACCTTTGTCCCTAATATTATTTAATAAAGGTAAAAATGTCCGATATTGGTCCCTTTCAATATTTTATTTGTGGTGGTTTTGGTGGAATATGTACTGTGCTTACAGGACATCCTCTGGACACTGTAAAGGTAAGAACTGAAAATATTTCATAAGGTTTCTTGTGTTTTCAAAATCATTCTAGGTCCGTATGCAAACAATGCCGTTACCTAAACCTGGAGAAGTCCCTTTATATACAGGCACCTGGAATTGTATTGTAAAGACTGTTCGCAATGAAGGTGTCCTTGGATTATATAAAGGAATGGGTGCTCCCTTAATGGGTGTAGCACCAATATTTGCTATTTCTTTCTTTGGTTATGGAGTAGGAACTCAGATATTTGGCCCTAAAGAGGAAGGGAAACGTATGACAACACTTCAGTATTTTAGTGCAGGTGCATTGTCAGGAATATTAACCACTGTTATTATGGCTCCTGGGGAACGTATTAAGTGCCTTCTTCAAATCCAACAAGATGTAACCAAACCTCAGTTATACAGTGGACCACTAGATTGTGCCAAAAAGTTGTATAAAGAAGGAGGTATTCGCAGTATTTACAGGGGGTCACTTGCTACAATGTGTAGAGGTAATTATAAATATATTATTACAAAACTTAACATAAAACTTTTTTGAATAAGAACTTTCAGTTAGAAATAATGTATTTAAACTAAGAAATTCTTATTTATTATTTAAAGGAATAATTTTCAGCATATATGAAACTGAAAATTTATTTAGAACATATTGGAACCA